CCGAGACGAACAGACAGTTGAATGAAACGGTCTCCGTGGTTGGTTGTAAACGAGTCTCAGCTGTATCGGTGAGGGCGTCTTGGCTCTGGACTTGACCATCATTTTTTTAGCAGCGTAACTGACGATGGACCGACTGTACAGCATAAATCGAGATTCATGGTACTCGAATATGTATATAGTATATATCAGTAAAAATTGGCACCAATTATCAGATGAGACTCGCAAGGTCTTTGAAGCCTGAGAATTTCAAAGCTACTGGTGACAAAAGAAAGTTATAGATTTCAGACACCTTTGTGGTGACATTTTCGTTGGCGTATCAACTAGTCTGATGATCATTCCGCACGCGAGGAGTTACTAGTATTACCCCTTGAGTTGAAGGTTAAAAGGGAGGTAATCGTCACGCCGCGCATGTGCGACATTTGTGTTGATAAACATAGATTTTCCCATAATCCAATGCGCTCTTCTAATGAAAATCACAAGTATGAGGTTTGACCTGGGCGCGACTTGCACTAATTACCCACTAATTACAGCTGGTGACTCTTTCGATACCTTCCAATCACCTAAAAAATATTTAATTAAAGCTTTATAGTGACGTCTCAGTTTGTACTCGTTGATCTGCGTATGGAGCTAACTCCATGATCTGCGCAACAGCCAAAGTCGCCATCTTTGTTTATATGAGACTCACATATCTCGCGCATGCGTGGCTCGACTACTACCTCCCTTCAACTTCTCATCTTGGCTGGTTCCCGCCTCAAGTGTCATGGCGTACCAAGCCACAAGAGGCCGGTAACTAGTAATGAATCCGGCATTCTGATTGGTCCGTCACTTTCTCGTTGCTTGTTCTATTTCCCTTGGTTACCTGACGGCAGCGCTTACGCTCGTGGCCGTTCAGGGGTTTCCTTTTATTTTCGAAAGTTGGGTGAATAAAAAACTGTTTCTTTTGTTATAAATTTTCACAGAAACAGCGAGGAATGTCAGAAACATCTCAAATGTGTAAATCTAAGCAGGCAGTATGTTTGAGCATGGCTTTATTGTAGTATTATAGACATGTTTACGCAGAACGGAACTTGGAATGTTTTCAAATTACGTCACTCAGTCACGTGCCTTCCGGCCGGAAAACCGGCCCAAATGGAACAATATGGCGATTACTAGTTACCTGCGTCCTACCTACCATTCGCAAAGGACGCCGGGAACCAGCGAACTTCTCATCTAGATGAGAAGATCCAGGGGGGATTGGCACGAGAGGGCGCCATCCGATCTGAATGGAACGTTTCGACGTCAGTCGTCCGTAGCCCATCGTCAAAGCAACAACGTCCCGTTTACGAACAGATGAAATAGTTTCAGCAATTTCTTTACAGAATAATCCTCAACAAAACTTATAAACATTTCATAGACAACTACAGGCTCCAAAATTATTGTCTATTGCAAAACAATTCAACAGACAACCAGTTTGACGCCACAATTTCTTGCTGGAGCCCGAGTTGTACGCGTGATTTTATTGCGTTCAAAACTGTTCCATTTCAAACTGCGCATGCACACACACTGTGGTTTCTCGAAATGCATACTAATTAGGTAACTTGTCACTGATAAAAGTCACCGAAAACATTTTGAGCAATTTTGAGCAATAGTACTAGAGTGAAATTTAAACGTGCCTCTGCATTCTTCATGAATTTCGTAACTTGCTATGATCATGGTAAAGAGAAAACCTATGCTTACTTTCAACAGTTAGCTGGAGTATGCCTTTACATAATTTTTCCGATTATTTTTTCAGCTCGTAACGATAGAATCAGTCAATTTAGAACTAACATGTATGCTATCGGAAAGCATTTTGGCACAATATTACTGAAAAAACGAGTTTTTCATTGCTCATGAATATTAATTTATGCAAATGAGGCGATTATTTCAATCAATCGTGTCATGCAACTCCCCCCCCCCCCTGAGAAGATCTATAATCACAACAATTTATTAACTCATATCAACCTACTGAAGGAGGTTAAAGGTTACAACAACAACAAAAATAAGATCTAGAATCATTCTCCAAGCATCTAATTGGTTGGCGCGCTCGCGAAACCTGACTTATTACGGGCGCAGTCAAAGCGTATGAGGATGATTCGACTGCATCTACGCCAAACATGACAATTATTACGTCTGCTATTAAACAAGTTCGAATAGTTTTACGGTGTTTGTCGTCATGGCATTCCTCCGCCAAATATTGTAATTGATTACAATTGTAGACATTACACTTACACCACAGGGAGTTGGACAAACTTATGTATTTTAAGAAATTATTTAATAATAAAATGTTATATAACTTTAATTTACCAATTTACACGGCA